TAACTATAAACTACCATAAAAGTTAATCAGCGTGCATTGATTAACAGCATGTTGTAGCGCAAAAAAAAACAAAAAACAAAAACGTGCTTGTGCAGCCAACTTAGAAAGTTAATCACAAAAGAGCCAGCAATGGGAAGAATGAGTCTGGAGCCCTGAATTGCCCAGCTCCCTCTGTCAATGATCTACTTGCGTTCAAAATTCTCTGGCACCGCCCCTGGTACATCGATGTATTTTTGAAAAGCAAAAATTAAGTTTGTTCAACTCTAAACCCAGTCCCCAAGTAAATTAGGTTATTAAATAAACTAGCAAAACGAGTTGCGCGGTGTCCCCACCAGTTTTCAAAGCAAAGTTAAGCCACTGGGTGGCATTAATGTATAATGTCATAATCTCATAATGTCAGTGTTATCAGATTAATGTTTTAAATATAAAAGTTTTGAATATAGAAATGTTAAAGATTTAAATGGCTCAATTTATACTTTAAAAATGAAACTGAAACCGCCAGTAGGTGGCAGCATGTCAAAGTCTTGGTTAGTGATTCATTTATTTAATCGATTTGTTCAAACGGCTGATTCATTTAGGAAGGAAGCAAGTGACTCTCTTTATGAGTGTGTCATTGAATCATTGACTCACTGGATTTGTTCAAAAATGCAGATTCATTCATAAACGAAACACCGCTGTGTTTGAATGGAGATGTGCAGCGGTTCAGCTGTGGATTTGTTTGGAACTATTTTTTTGACAATAGAGCACAATCAGACAACAGTGTTTCTAAAATGTAAGTCACTTTAATAGTAACTTTTTTATCAAATCAAAAATATATAAAACTGTTCCATAAAATCAATATCACATTTGCTAACTCTGTCACCCGTCTTCATCGCGATCTCACAAACTTGCATTTTAATTAATGAAGCTCTCAACACTGCACACTGAATTTATTATTTACATCTCTACACTTTGTTATAATGAATGACAAACAGCAGTCTGCTTTCACAATCTGTTCTGTGAAGAGCAGGACACGCACCGATAGAGAAGCATTTCTATTGGCTGCAGTCTGCAGGTATTAAAGCAAAAGACGACATTGCGCAGCTAACCATATTCCGCTACGTTTTTAGTCTACATTACCCTACGTTTTATATACAGAACTGGGGTCGCTTTCGTAGACTTTTGATTGGATAAAGTATAGAAATCACTTTAATTTCCAATAGAACCTAACCAGTTGGAAGTGAAACGCCGTCCCCCCTCGAAATTCACTCCCCGGACTTGAACTAATTCAATATATATAAAAAAATTAGTAAAAATTATAATAGTATCTAAATAAGATTGGACCAGCTCACCGTCACTGCTGATGTCCCCAGTGATGAGGGACGGGTAACCGAATCCCACGCCGCCCTGGGACAGATACGCTTGCTCTGAGTAACTCAGGTCTTCTGGACTGACCACCTGCTCCTCTTCTACAAGAACTACAGGTGAACATGACATACAATACCACTGAAGAACATTTATGAGTTGTTCCCTTAAGAAGTTTTTTGTACCTGATGTGATACTTTAGATTTATAAGGATGGTGTATTCAGTGGTATATTTGAATGCAAACAGGCTGATTCAATCTTATTAAACCATTTATTTAATATATTTAAAATATACTTTTTTTCTTAAATATATACAGTAGTCAACATTTGAAGTGGATCAAAACCTTTCATCAAAGTTGTCCTAAACCAAAACAATACCCGTTCTTGTCTTAGGACAAGTTTCATGAACTTTTCTGATCCACTTCAAATGTTGACTACTGTATATATATAAATATATATACATAAAGTGGCGGCAACAATTATTAGAACACTAGTATTTTACCAAATTTTCAGTCAGTTCTTTTGACTCTTTATCAGATCTTTATCTAAAAGTCTATCTTTTGCTGTAGTGTGTCGGTATCAGTTTACATTTCCAAACATGCATTTTGTTATTAATTATAATAATCCAGTGAGATTTTTGTTTGCATAAGGGCAACAGCCAGTGCTCCACACAGAGTTCTGATCTCATCATCATCCAGTCTGTCTGGAATGACTTGAAGAAACAGAACAAACTGAGACGGACTAAATCCAGAAGAACTGTGGCAACGTCTCAAAGATGCTTCAAGAAACCTTTTTATATCTTAATGCAAGCAGGCTGATTCAATTTTATTAAGATATTTATTTAAAATATTCAAAATATATTTCTTGTTGAACCAGTGTGTGTGTGTGTGTGTGTGTGTGTGTGTGTGTGTGTGTGTGTGTGTGTGTGTGTGTGTGTGTGTGAGAGAGAGACTTGTTGAACCAGTGTGTGTGTGTGTGTGTGTGTGTGTGTGTGTGTGTGTGTGTGTGTGTGTGTGTGTGTGTGTGTGTGAGAGAGAGAGAGAGAGAGAGCACTTACCAGGCCTGGCGTAGGTCATCTCTGCCGAATGAATCAGCGGATGCCCCAGCAGAGGTTCAAGGACGGTGAGAAGCAAAACGAAAAACAGAAAGAGTTTACACATCATGCCGACACTACAGACACACACAAACTCTCTTTGTTCCGCGACTTTAGCCTGGAGGGTTTCGTCTCAACGTGTCCATCCGGTTTCTGTCTTGGACTTATTATACCCTCCATCGCTGGCCATGTCATCTCCCCATCTCCATCGCTGACCTCCTCCCAACCCTTCGCATATTCTGTGCTTGTAAATTCACAGAGGATAAATTAATGGATCAATAAAAGTGAAACACAGACAGTCTGTGCGTCAGGGATGAGTCTCGCTGTTTTACCCGTTCGGGATGTAATCTAGCAGAGTTCATAAATCCACCCGAACGCAGGTGGAAAAACGGCACTTTGCGTTAGAGCTCGCGGGATGCAGTCGGCCAGGCAAATTGCCTGCTTAATTTATTTATTTAAGAGGCTGCTGAGATTTATTTCCCATGATGCCCGCTGCGGTTACTCAAGCATAGGCCTATCCTCCTTACAACCCCTGCAGCTATTTTAAGAGAATGGAAATGGCAAACAGAAAGTGTGACCAATTTTATTAATGGTGTAAAGAAAAAAAGGTGGCAGTTGGCCACAGAGCTGCATGTCAATCACATTTATTGTGAGTGACACACTGCTTCCTCCGCATATCTATCAGTCTGGCTTCAGAAGTGGGCATACAACCAAGACTGCCTTGCTCTCGTTATTGAAGCTCTAAGACTGGCAAGAGCGGCTTCCAAATCTTCAATGCGTATCTTGCTGCATCTGTCCGCTGCTTTTGACACTGTTCACCACCAGATCCTCCAGTCAGCACTATTGGCAAAAGGCATCTCAGGAACTTCGCTTCAGTGGTTCTAGTCTTACCTCTCAGATAGGTCCTTCAAGGTATCTTGGAGTGGTGAGGTGTCCAAGTTACAACATCTAGCATGCTGGGGTGCCTCAGGGCTCAGTTCTTGGACCACTTCTCTTCTCTGATTACATGGCATCACTACACTCTAAAAAATGCTGGGTTGTTTCAACCCAATGTTGGGTCAAATATGGACTAACCCAACTGTTGGGTTAAAAAGCTAATTTAAAAATGTAACCAAAATTTAACCCAACAGTTGGGTTAGTCCATATTTGACCCAACATTGGGTTGAAACAACCCAGCATTTTTTAGAGTGTAGATTCTGTGATTCTGTGATTCAATCAACTCTACTTCTCATTCCATTCTGATGATCGGACGATAGTTGCTCGCAATGTCAGCTTGTCTAACATACATTTCTTGCTGGAAGAAGGACCATCACCTTCAACTCAAACTTGCCAAGACAGAACTGCTTGTGGTTTCAGCAAACCTATCACTTCATCACATTTCACCATCCAGTTAGGCACATCATCCATAACTCCTTCAAGGACAGCCAGGAACCTTGGAGTTGTGATTGATGATCAGCTGAATTACTCAGACCACATTGCTAAAACTGCCCGGTCATGCAGATTTGCAGATTTCAACATCAAGAAGATCAGGCCCTTTCTTACGGAACATGCTTCACAACTCCTTGTTCAAGCTCTAGTTCTGTCCAGGTTGGACTATTGCAATGCTCTCTTGGCAGGTCTTCCAGCCACTTCTATCAAACCTCTACAACTAATCCAGAATGCGGCTGCAAGATTAATCTTTAATGAGCCGAAAAGTGTGCATGTCACACCTCTCTTTATCAATTTACACTGGCTACCAATAGCTGCTTGCATAAAATGTAAGGCATTGATGTTTGCCTACAAAACCACCACTGGCTCTGCACACCTTTACCCTAAATTTACTACTTCAGACTTACAGTATGTGCCCTTCAGAAACTTGTGTTCTGCAAGTGAACTACACATTATAGTGCCATCCCAAAGAGGCACAAAATCACTTTCACAGACTTTTACCTTAACTGTTCCCTCCTGATGGAATGACCTGCCCAACTCAATCCAAGCAGCTGAGTCCTTAGCCATCTTCAAGAATCAACTAAAAACACATCTCTTCCATCTTTATTTGACCCTCTTTAGCACTCTCTATTCTAATTCTATTTTATCTACTTGTTTTCTTTTTATTTATTAAAAAAAACAACTTGACTCTCTAACACTTGCACTCTATTGTATTTCTATTCTAACTCCTTGTTTTCTTTTTTATTAAAAATTAGTTATATATTATTTTTCTATCCTTTCGACTTTTCTTTTTATGTATTTATAAAAAAACACCCTCTAACACTAGCCTTCTTTATTCTTTTTCTATTCTATCTACTTGTTTTCTTTTTATTTATTATATAAAAACCCTTACTCGTGCTTTAGACTAACCGAGACTTGTCACAGCACTATGTAAATATCATTGCTCTTTTGTTGGTTTTGATTGCTTCTATTGTCCTCATTTGGATAAAAGCGTCTGCTAAATGACTAAATGTAAATGTAACATTATAAAACCGTTTGAAGACCAAAGTCTTGAAACAATTTTTCGAAATGAGCAGCAGGTGGTGCGAAAGGCCCGTGTAAAACCCCACATGATTCTCTTTGTTTTGACTGAGAACAAAAGTAGCAGCCAAACTCAAAATGTCAGTGTGTGTGAGAAAAAATCTCCCAAACATGAAGAACGGAGGACACCGAGATCATGCTGGAGAGGAGATGATCCTGTGATAGACTGCAGTCACACGAGTGTTTGTGTTTAATTGTGTGTCACGCCTGATTGGTGTGTGTGTGTGTGTGTGTGTGTGTGTGTGTGTGTGTGTGTGTGTGTGTGGATCTGCGCGTGTCTGCAGTGACAGAAGAGGGTAAGTGTGTTTTTATCATGGTTTCGTTGTTTTCTAAAGCAAATGTATATTACAGTGTTTATGTTGCTCTTATAACACCATATTCATTATAAAGTCTATCGTGCATCTATAACAACTTTTTTTCAAAAGTAGAACATTGACATGTAATTGTTTATATATCAAGTTTACTGTATGTGGTTCATTAGTATTCAGCAACACTAAAACATGAAAGCATGACCTAGTTTTCCATGTATTACTGTAATGGGTAATATTAAACTGGGACTTTTAAAGCATTTTGTTTTAAACAGTTAACATACTTATTTGGATAAAATATGGAAATCAGCTTCCATGAATTAGACGTGCACTTAAACATAACACATATTACTGTATTCTATAAAGTATTTTACACCGTATTAGACATTACAGTAGTTTTGCATGTTGTTTTTATATTCTATTGTCTTAATTTTAGTGTTGGCAGTGATTTGCATAACAATATTTATATATAATATAATCTAACCTGACCGCCAAACTTTACTAAAGCCATGCTGTCATTGAGAGGTAAATGTATTTCAGCATTATATTTGATGATAATTCTGCTGATTGGATTATATTTGACCTTTCTTGTTATTGATATGCAAAAATAATATCCATAAAGCTTACCAAAATATGATTAATGGCTCACAAACAGGAAACAAACTTTTCCAACGTCTTCATCCTCGACACAATGCGTGTTATTGTTCCAGGATTTATGGAGATTAGATTACGGCTGGCACATTATAAAAGTCACACTGATTGCTTCTAGTGTTTAGCAGCAGTAAGATATTGTGTTAGTGATACTAGTAACCTGTTTAACTGTTCTCATTGTCTCTCACTACACATGTTTGTTGTGTTTCTCTGGTGTTTGATGCTACAGGTTTCTTCAGTCATGGCAGAAACCGACATCGACAAATCTCACCTGCCCGGTGTTTATGACGGTGTGTCTGGGTTATTCTGTTTCACATCTGTAGTTCTTTTAATATCTCCTTAGGTTTGCAACATGTCGCAGTGTTGTTGTTGATCTGGTTTAAGGTTATAAGCTTAAAACCCAGAAGGGGTGATGCTACTGTATACTGTATATGAGCCATTTGACAACAGCTTGATCCATAAAACCTAATATTGCTTCAGTGGAATTGTTCTCGGAATTGTAAGTGTGGTGTGAGCAGTATTGTATTTGATAACTAAAAAATAGTTTTCATTTATTGAAGTAAAGCTCAAATAAAATATAAATATTAGATGAAAACTTTAAACTTAAAAAAATAATAATTTTGCTTTGGCAACTAACTGAAATAAAATAAATATAGGTTATACTAGAATAAGTGAAAGTATAATAAAAGTATAAATATTAAAATGACTGAAAATCTAACTGAAGTAGAAAAATTAAAGCATAATATAAATATTTTTTAAAAACCTATAACCTTAAATCAAATGCTTATAAAATGCACATAATCACTGAAACAACCTAAAAATGTAAATCAAATCTGAAAATGTAAAATACAAATTTACATATAATTTTTTTTTTATAAATACCATAAGAGCATTATTATCATTGACAAACCAAAAACATTAAAAAATCTTTTCATTCATTGAAAATTTACAATTTTATTTAAATCAATGTTGATTTTATTTCAATTAATAAAAACGTTATTTTGTTTCAGCAAGTTGCCAAGGCAAAATTTCTCATTTTGGTTTAATTTAAAATGAAGTACTAAAATAACTAAAAGTAAATAAATTAAAAACTGAAACTAAACTGGAACATAGATATATTAAAAAATAAAAAAACTACAATGATAGACTATTGAACAAAATAAAAATGTCAAAAATATAATTACAGTAACTTTGCTGAAATTAAAATGAAAACTGATATATTCTTATTTTAAAATGTTAACTGTTAACTTATCAATAATGCTAAAATAACACTGAATAGTATATGTATATATATGTATATAAATGGCTACTAAAAAAATGTGCAACATCTAAATACACTAAACAAATTAAACAAATTTCTTTCTAAAAAAGAGAAAGTAACTTACAAAAAGAAAGAAAGAAAAAGAAAATGTACATAACTATAAATAAGTGTATTTCATCTCTATTACTGCATGCAGGAAATAACTGCACTTGCTAAATGTATTTATTTGCAGCAAACCTACATGTAATTATCCATAATCTGTCTGTTTTCTGAAAGAAAAAGCATTCAAAGAAAAACTTTTGGGTTAAAACTTGGTTTAAAAACCAGGTGCTCGATCAGCAGCTGGTTAATATTCCTGTGCAGGTTTTCCGGGTGAGTTGTGTTGTCTTAGATGTTGTTTGGCAGGGCTGCTGCTTGGTGTTGTAGGAGATGAGATCAGAGTTCAGGAATGTGATGTGAGCTCAGGACAGATCGAGCAGGAGAGCGAGCGAGCGTTGTGTGGGGCTGATAAGAGCCGGAGACCGTCCGCACACTCGTGCTCTTATCTGCCCTGGATGAGCTCACGAGCTTCCCGGCGTTCCTGTTTCTTAAACAGGATTCGGGTCGAGATTCCAATCTTCTCCTGTTTTGGCCTAAAGCTGGAGGCAGGAAAGGGGTGTGAAGAGTTGAAGTGCAGGAGAGTTTAGATGAAGAACACAAAGACAGTTCTGTTGCGTTGCTGCTTCATATAAACTGATGCACGGCTGTAGTTGTACCTAGAAAGCAGACAGACTGTCTGTGCGTGAAACTGGACACTATATAAACACCTACCCAAGCTTTTGGAGCCAAGCTTCTGACCTGTTTCTTTGAGTTCATGCGTGACATACCCCCCCTTCCCCAAACTGTGTTGTCGGATATTTATAGCTTCTGCTTCTGCTCCTCGTGCCAAATATAGACAAAGAACTGCAATAGAAAGCCAGAGTTTGGGAGAGAAGAGCAGTATACAGGAAAAGATGAGGGATAAAAGCATGATAGTTTCATGCAGGGGTCTTGATTACTGTCTTTTCTCTCTTTTCTTTGTTTCTCTGACTCTGAATAGCACCATCTGTTTGGCCCGGGGGCCTCCGCTCAGCTGAGGGGGGTCAAACGACTGCGAAAGACCACTGTCTTATTCCCACAAAAGAGTGCACACTTAACTTTAAAGGAATAGTTTAGCCAAAAATTCTAATTTGCTGAAAATGTACTCACCCTCCGGCCATCTTAAGATGAGTTTGTTTCTTCATGGGAACAGATTTGGAGCAATGTAACATTACATGACTCCTCTGCAGCGAATGGGTGCCGTCAGAATGAGTCCAAACAGCTGATAAAAACATCACAATAATCCACAAGTAATTTATATGACTCCAGTCCATCAATGAATGTCTTGTGAAGTGAAAAGCTGCACGCTTTTATGAAATAAATCTATCATTAAGGTGTTTTAACTATTGCTACTTTTTCCCTCAATCTCAAAGCTGTGGGAAATGGAGTATGATACAAACCAGTGTATTCGAGTCGATCATTCATGTCCACATGTCTACATTTAAATTAGGGATGCACCGATATGAAAATTTTGGCCGATACCGATAACCGATTATTCTTTATTTTTGAAAGCCGATAACCGATATGTTGGCCGATAAATCTATATCCAAATTGTTATATACTTTTTGAGAGCCTGATTACAAAAAAGGTCTCATCATTAAAAGCCACATCCCAAACACTTCAACATAAGCAGCCTAGTTTGAACGGTGTACGTTTTAAAAATATTTTTACTCTCCAATTACCAAATTTTGTCATAAAAAAGTCTTACAAATAAATAAAATAATGCATAAATAATGCAAACAATTCACTGGACATCATTACACGTGTAAAGAATCAAAATGAATGCGCCACAGATCAATAAAACAGAATTGTATATAATGTTATATACACAACATTCCCAATCATAGTTATTAATGTTGTGCACTGCTGTTTGAGCTGCGTGCGCTGAGCTAAAGACGATCACCGGTAAACTGAAGCGCTCTTTTAACTTAACCAAACGCATTCTATATGAGATAAATCAGATATACATCAAATAAACACAATATTACAACGTACAATTGCACAAAAGGCTGCAAACGAACAGCGCGCATCTGAAGTGTCTCTGAAGGAAATAATGCATTATTTATCGGCTTTAAGATATCGGCCAAATTTTCTTATCAGGCCGATACCGATAACAGAAAAAATGAGCATTTATCGGCCGATACCGATATGGTGGCCGATATATCGTGCATCCCTAATTTAAATGCATCAAAGCTGTTTCCTTAGGTTTCAGGAATTGCCCGTTGGTTTTCTTGGTTCAAGACCAGTTCTTATTTTTAGTTGCGCAGCACTGACTCTTGTTATGCACAGAAACCCCTTTTCATGGCATTTAGTTTAACTGTGAGTATGCCAACCTTTATGAAACAGGCTTCTGTCTTGAGAGCGCCCGTGTCAGCTTTTCCATCCCGGATCAGGGTGGAGGTGGCTGCAGAACCAGCAGGGCTAACCTTTTTTAAAAGCCATCTACTTGAGCACCAGTTGGCTGTTTACTAACAGTAGCGCACATAAGATGAGCTCACACGTGTGTGTGTGTGTGTGTGTGTGTGTGTGTATGTGCTTCATGACAGTAGAAGGAGTTTGAGATACGGACGCAGACGCAGCTTTCAAAACGGTAAAATCCACTGCCGAATAACGAGAGAATAGTATTTTTTAAATAGTAGTAGTCTGAGTTGGTTGTATAAACTGTTATATCGTTATATGCTTCTTTGTGAGCATTTAATATGTCTTTAAAATGTCCTACAGCACTGACAGATCTGTAATTAGACGACCTGTCTTTTATAATGGAGTGTCAACTTTTGACTCTGATGTTTAACATGCTTGTGCGATAGTTCATGAGCTTTTATTAGCTCACTCAATTTTCCACACTTACTTAAAGAGAGCACGTGACAGAGGGGGAGAAGGAGGGTTGTTGTGTTATATACCCAGCTAACAAAAATATGTTCTAAGAACGTTTTGTTAATGTTCCCATTAAGATGTGAAGTTCTCTGAACATTCGAAACATCCAGTTTTTAAAAATGTTTATTCTTGGCTACATGAACGTTAGAGAACAACATTAAGGGAACTTTCCATTTGATTGTTTTGCAATCAAAACCCTACACAGCGTTTAATGTGTAGGGTCTGTTTGACCTTCAGCAGTCTTTTGTGTGACCGTGTGTTTGCTTGAAGGTCTTTCTTCAGGTCGATATTCAGTAGAGTCCTGTCAGAAATGGCATTTGAGTGAGCTGCAGTTTTGGCTGATCACACTGATATGTGGTTTAATGTGCCTATCCTCTGAGCCATTGTGTTAAGGTTGTTGACCCAGTTGGCTTGGCAGTAGTTTTCCTGTTTGGGCCCCAGTGTGGCATTATTGGCGGAGCAAAGACAGAGATGGGCCCAAACATAAACCTGCCCTAGAGAATGAATTGCACATGCAGATAGACACCAAAATCACCTTTTTAAAATTTTAATTTTAAATCATTTTAGATATAATGCTCTTCTCCATCATTTGATCACCATTTTATTCATTACTGCTGCCATGATCTATTATTTATATACTATTTTAGTGTTAATATTTTGAATTAGCTTATATTTTCAGTGAATTTTAATTTTAGTTTGTTTTAGTCATTTTATGTGCTTTTGTCATTTTTATTCATTTTTGAATATTTAATATTTCGGTAACACTTTACAATAAGGTTCATTAGTTAACATTAGTTAGCTACTTTAGTTAACATGAACTTAGAATGAACGTTTAGTCAATGTTAATTTCAACATTTACTAATGTGTTAGTAAGTCATGGGAACTAATGACTTTACTAACTAACTAACTAACTAGTCATGGCCTAATGTTTAGAGAGTCGGACTCGTAACCCAAAGGTTGCGGGATCGAGTCTCAGGTCTGGCAGGGATTGTAGGTGGGGGGAGTGAATGTACAGCGCTCTCTTCTGCCTTCAATACCACGACTGAGGTGCCCCTGAGCAAGGCACCGAACCCCCAACTGCTCCCCGGGCCCCACTGCTCCGGGTGTGTGTTCACGGTGTGTGTGTGTTCACTGCTGTGTGTGTGCACTTAGGATGGGATAAATGCAGCGCACTATTTCCTAGTATAGGTAACCATACTTGGCCACATGTCACGTCACTTTTTTCACTTTATTATTAAAATCAAAAGTTGTGCTTGTTAATGCACAAGTATTTTACCATGTTTAAAGGAAGTTTTGAGCACTCTGCCTTGTGTTACCAACTCTGCTTTAAACTAACAGCACCCTATAAATGTGGTAAACTCACTATAATGTACCCTTTAATCACCTGTTATTTTAATAATCTTGTCTGTATTTTTGTGGTTTTCCCACAGTGTGCCAATGTTTCTCTGTGTTAGAGGACGGTGCTTTGGCTCACAGTCTTCAAGAGCAGGAAAGTGAGTATAAACATCTTTTTCCCGTAATCTTGCTCATCCTTCCTTCTTACAGAAGTAAAATAGACCTGATTGATCTTTATCATGTCAGTTGAGCAGTTCTACAGCACCAACATCCAGAAGAACCAGGCGGTGCAGAACGATGTTCGTTTGGCCCGGAGGCTGCAGGAGGAAGAGGAACAGCGATCAGTTCTCCGCCAGGACCTGCAGCAGCTGTAAGCATAGTCAGGCCCCGACGCATGTCCCGAATCACTCAGTCAGCAACATGGCAAAGCCACAGACATTTAAGATACTCAGATTACTTTGTGGAAACAGATGCGTTGACTCGTTTGTGTTGCGTAACTTGATTGATTAGTTTGTATATTGTGAGGTATAAGTTGAAAAACCACAGGGAAAAATATTTCGAGCTTGAGAGTAAAATTAGCCTGGCATGATTCACTAGAGTTTTTTTTCCCCGCTGATTTGCAGCACTTGTATGTTGTTGTTTTTTTTTATTTTTATGCTCACCAAGGCTGCATTTATTAAGGCTGATCAAAGGGGGTTTTTTTCTCTCTCTTTTTTTTTTTTTTAAATGCAACTTAAAATAAAAGTTTATATTATAAATATCATATATTAAGTTCAACTTAATAGTCAAAAGTTATAAAGTTATTTTATGGGCTGTTATGCTTTTTTATTAAAATAGGACAGTAGAGTGGCGACAGGAAAGCACTGGGAGGAGAGAGGGGAGTGGGATCGAGATGGGAATCGAACTCGGGTCGCCGTGAGCGCAGTTCCGCTATGCACTAACCACGAGGCTATTGGCGTCGTAAGTTAAATTTTGTCTTGTTTGCAGGGAGGAAGAGGACTGCAGATATGCACAGATGATCCAGAAGGAGCTCCAGAGGTGTGGGGAGGAGGCCAGGAGGCGAGAGAAAGCGGATGAGGTGCATTTCATTAAAACATGATAAAGGATTAATCGCGAATAATCGCATCCAAAATAAACGTTTTTGTTTACATAATATGTGTGTGTACTGTGTATATTTATGTATGTATGTATAAATACACACACATACAGCATATATTTTGAAAATATTTACATGTATATATTCATATTTATATAATTTCTATTATATTTAATCTATAAACATAACTTATTTTTCTTAAATATATACATGCATGTGTTTGTATTTATATATACATAATAAATATACACAGTACACACACATATATTATGTAAACAAAAACTTTTATTTTGAATGCGATTAATCGCGATTAATCGTTTGACAGCACTAATTTAGATCCATGATTATCATCATCATGTGTTTGGTATCATAAATTTTGCTAAGATGATTGTCACTTTTAACTGAAAGGCAGGACTTTTATTTATGCAGTCACTGTATTGAATGTTGTGATTTCTCCCATTCATTTCTGTACAAATTTTTATTTTTTTTACATTTCTTACTGTCACTGATAAAATTCCACCTAATGTGCTTGATACACAAGCACAAAAATACACCGAAAAAATGCACTGTACAATGTGTATTTGAAAATTTGGATTACGTAATTAGATTACAAAAATGAAGTGCTTGTAATTTAAATTATATTACAATGCTCATAATCAGAATACAGTCACTTTTTTATAGATTACATGATTATTAATTTATTCCATTTGATTTGCCCTAATTCTTTTTTTCTCTCTCTTTTTCTAAAATGCAACTGCTTTTATAAATTTGGAAAGTCTTCAAGCTTTTCATAAACTCATAAAGCTCCTGTAGTTCATTCATGAACCCCAGTTTGGGAAACCCTGGCATAATGTAACGTTTAATGATGTTGATAACAAAGAATCGCATATATTTTAGGTCAAAAGTAATCAAAAAGTAGTCAAAATACATAACCTAATACTGTATGTGTAATCCAATAGATTACGTTACAAACTATAATTTCCTTCGTGTTATTTGTAATCAGTGACAGACTACAATTTGTAAGTAATCTACACAGCGCTATCTGTTGTTAATTATCTGTCCTTTCATGTTAAGCTTATTAAAACACCTGTGTGGAGTGGCAGTTGTGTAGAGATGCTTTTGGACAGAAGAATAAAGGAGAGAAAGAACATAGTAGACAGAGGAGAGTGAGAAGACTGAGGCCCGACTCGGATCTTGCACTCTGATATCCATTGGCTTCAAGTATTCTATTATGTCCTTTATTTTGCTGTTGGGCGACATTTCTGTCGTCTAAAGGAGCAGCTTTGTCATCTTTGTTGTCAGGAGTGGTTTTTGAAAGTGTTCCCATGGCGTGTCCGGGGTGACGAGTGGTTTGTCGCTGAGGAGGTGGACGTCATCTGGGAGGCCACGTCCCGCCGGATGCTTCAGTGGTGAAACAGTGAGGTTCTGTATTTGTGGAAAGACTGTTTACAAGAGGCTGTCTGACTGAGGCAGTCTGTCTGGAGCCCTTTATTCCACCCTTTGGAAAGACGTCTTGAGAAAGTAATGGTCTATAGTACTCTGACTCGTTTGACGAGACACAGTGTTTGGCTTTGATATTTTATTTATAATGCAGTGACAAATTATCAATTTTGTCCACTTTTTCCAGATTAAAGGCAACTCCTAGTGTTGCCTTTAATCTCTCTTGTTGTTATTATTTTTACATTAATGTCATCGGATTTGAGAAATGGAAACCGGGAACGTTTCCTAGTTTAGTGGTCAAAATATCATAATCTCAGTTGTTATTGTCTATAAATTAAAAAACAGGGACATCACATTTTTGAATGTTTTTTTGTTTTTAATTGTTTTGTGTTTCATAAACTGTCATGCGGGTCTGACTGACCTTAACTGGTTTTAATATAATTGGTTTTAATTTTAATTCAATGAAAATCACATTATGAAAAATAGTAAATAGTAAACCATTGCAAATAATGGAAAGATCAAAACAATATATATAACAAAATTATTACTTTACAAAAACACATTGCAAAAATAAATATGGGAACAAATGATAAAAATGGAATTCAAGTTTTTTTTTTACATTTAAAATTAAAAAAATATATATATACTGTATATATATTTTAATTTTCTAATTACTGTGTATATATTAATTTTATAAAACTGTGAATATATTGTAAACAGTAATTACAACTTTTTAATTTTTTATGGTTGTGCTTTTGGAAATGGAAGTCGACATTTTTATTAAGATTTAATTCATTTTTAGATTAACATTTTTATGCGTAATATGCATAATAATTAAATGCATAATAAATAACATGTAAAGGTATAAAAAAGTAAGTTAAATAATTGAATTTAATAACAACAATAATATTAATTTATTGTTGTAATATTTTATTTATTTTTATATTTTTATTAAGATTTTTATTTGGGCTTATTTTTCATTTAAGCTCATTTTGAGGACAAATGTGGATATTTGATTTTTAAAATTAATTTAAATGTATTTTTCATTTATTTATATTTATGTAAATGTATTTATATAATATTTACTGCTGGTTGATTAGTTAATTTGCAGAACACCGAAAACCAGGACTATCCATAGAAAATGTGGATGTCTGGTCATCCTGTTTTACATCAAGGTACTTTAGACGTTTCTGTTTTCTGCTAACGGTTTGCAGCCTGTGTGCTTCAGCAAAAGAAGACGTCCATCAGCACCTGCTCTGTTTGTTAGCCGAGGGTGTTTTTGTCCGATATGGGCTGTAGTTGTGCTTGAACACCTGGTGTTGACTGTCCTCTCTGCCTCGCGGTGACAGTATTAGACTGCAAATGGAGCGGTGTAGTGGAGTAGAAGGGATTTGTACTTGTAATTGACTTCCTGCATTTCTGCCAGCCTGTGAACAAAGTCTGTCTGTGTATGTCCAGTGGAGCTGTAACAGCCCTTTCTTATTCTGCGTGTAAAATCAGCTTTCTAGTAATGGCTAAATGTAGTCATCTATATCGTAACAGTTTATTGGTGTTCTTGTAGCTGCTGGTGATATTTTCCTAGAATCTTTATCTGTGTGACCTCTGTCAACACTTTGTCAATTATTTTAACACAGTGCCAACTTCACAAGGCAGAAATCTCATAGCACACAAGAGAGGAACACTGCTGGTAAGGCAAGTGTATATAGATATCTCATTATGTAATTAATTCAGATAACTGGTATAATAAACAAAATGTTATATGAAAGTCAAGGTTAAAATCACAACTTAAAATTGTCTAAGGAATTAATGAAAAGTTAACAAGAATTTGAAACAAGGAATTAAATGCGTAATGAATAATAGGTAAAGGTATAAATAAGTTAAATAATTTAATTTAATAACAACAATAATATAAATTTGTTGTATTTTATATATATATATATATGAGCAATATCACAGTCGTAGCAGTACGATAGCTGTATATACAGCAATATCACACTGCTACGACTGTGATATTACGTTTATACAACAGTTCGACGGCATAAGTGTGTAAATACATAAGAAACAACAACAGAGTGTCTTTAAAAGCCCTCTTTTGTGCAGAACTACTTCCTTCCGCCACAGATTCAAATCTAAAGTTGACAGTTGAACAGCTGAGCCCAAGCCTCCGTTACTAATTCCAAAACGTCACTGTAGAACTAGTAACGATGGAACGTTGAGTTGCTTCATTGAAAGCTTATTTTATTACTGTATTGAAAGCTCACTGTATTATGTCGAGTATTTTGAGAGAGAGATGGACTGAGTGTGATTACCTGCATCTGATACAGCGTACAGTGAACGGTCGCTGACATCCTGGAGCTCACATCTCCCAAAACATTGATGCAAATTTTCAAATAGACGTTATCTTTATTAACAAACCACATATTTGAAGTCTAAACAAGTACATTCACACCAACAAAAAAAAAATCTTAAAACTACATTCCATGACACAAAAACAGTATTATTTCAAAAATTCTAGTGGATTTTGGGCGTCTGTAATAACACTCGCTGTGAGAAATACTGCAAGCGGAGTGATACAAACAGTGAAACGGTTGGAGTTCTGTTATCACAAGAACATCACACTCTTCTCAGCCAATCAGATTTGAGGACCAGAAAGAACTGTTGTGCACACACACACACACACACACACATATATATATATTTATATATTTATTTATTTATACAACAGTTCGTTCTGGTTCTCAAATCTGATTGGTATCGCTACAGGAACGCCCTTTCACAATTTTGTATCACTCCGCTTGTTCTAGCCGGGTCTATGTTTTTTTAAATTATTCACTGAGCTAATCGTAGAGTACGTTAGTTAATATAAGAAGAAATGTCTAGCTTCGCGGTCTCTCTCTCTCTCATTTAGATGCACGTCTTGGCGCATTGTTTCTCTCTTATAACCTCATTGTTTCTCACTAATAACCTAACTGAAGCAGCACATGCCCTTGATACGAATTCAAAAAGTGACGTATGTTTAACTGTCAACTTGAGCTTTGAATCCGTGGCGGACAGAAGTAGTTCCGCACAAAAGAGGGTTTTAATCAGGCACTCCGTTGATTCTTGTTTAATTACACACATGTTCCGTCGAACTGTTGTATAAACGCAATATTGCTCATATATACGGTTCATATATAAATGCAAAAAAAAATTATATTTGCATTTGATTTGTTTGAATGCCAAAGAGAGTCCCTCATTATGGTATTTATGTGTGTGTTGGTGTTGATTATGATTAGACACACATTCCTGCTTGAGGTCTTCAGGCTTCTTCTCTGAGGGTGGGCCGGTCGTACACCAGAATGTAAACTCTTTCACCAGAGCTCTACACAATGAGAAATGCCTCACCATGGTGCTGAGGGCACATTGATTGCTGTAGCTTTACTAACCATGCTTTACCTCCTCAGTCTCTAGGACACTAGTTTGCCCCCAAAAAAACTGCTTTAAGACTAGAATACCCATGAGCCCACACAACAGCATCATCTGATGTTGTGTGTTTATTTGTGTAGTAATTGCATTGACTTTCCCATGGGGAATTTTCTGTTTATTTTACAAGAAACACAGTACATGCTTTAGAGTGGGCAAAAACCCCCACCTCTGGTGAACGTCCAGACATCTTGTTGATCAAAGGTAGGGCCTGTCTTTTCTGGACAATCGGCAAACACAGCTGAGTGATAACACATTGCTAATATTCTGACGTCTCTTACCTTAAAAGACCTCGCAAACCTATTAAATGTCTTTGGAAAATACTGAATAAATAGTATAAGCTACTTTTAAGGTGCTCTGTTGACATGCTAATCTTTTTCTGTTTATAGATTTCAGCTTTTTGGTTCTGCTTTTTTGATTTAGACCCACATGAGGGTAAGTAAATGATGACGATATACATTTCTGGGTGAATTGGCTGTTTAATAGTTTGACATTTAAAGAACAAGCCTCGTTACTGTCCTCTAGTTGACAAATGAAGTATATACTTCATAGTGTGTGTTATTTATTTATTATTCCCAGTTAAGGAAACCACTTTAAATTAACATCTATTGTGATCTGCATTTTTAATGTTGATTATTTTTAACGTGTCAACTCGCTTCCTCTCTTTATTTCCCATATTTAGCCACTCATTTCCTGTTGCTTAAGACGTTGGTGTAGAAAAAGTTTCCTATTCTGTTTCATTTATAAAGGGTCACAAAACCAGGACAACAGTGCCATTGTGTCAGATCTGTATAATGGTACAAAAATGTACCATGGTAAATCATATTTTCTGCCAAAATACTACAGTTGTTTCTCAAGTAGAGTAGTAACTGGCTGTGGTTACTGTGGTATTTTGGCGGAAAATGGCTCTAAGATCAAAGTCAGGCAATTATTCTCAGTGCTGCTGCTCAGTATGACAAGGTTATAATAATGTGTTAGCTTGTGCGCTGTGTGCTTTTATTCCGTGACGTCGGTGTGTAAATGAGGTCTGAAGGACTCAGCAGATCTCAGGCGAGGTGTCCTGAGAAGCGTCTCTGTGGGTGTCACACATATAGTGTGTGTGTCTGTGTGTGCTGTACTTTCCGCAGGTCTGGCCTGCAGCTCCTCTAGTGGGTGTCAGCCTGGTTTTTTGTGCTGTAAGATGATGAGTTTTTGTTCGAGTGACTTCGTGATGGAAGATTCACAGCCCACTTTGACACGTCTGCTGCGTGATATTAAACTCAGACCAAGATGTGTGTGTATGTGTGTTTGTGTGTGTGTGTCTAAACTGAGGTCTTACTTTAAATATCACTTTAAATATCTCCATCCTGATGCATTAGAGATATATTCAGTTTGGCCAGTTTCACTTCGGGCCTGTGCACTGCTTAAAGTCAATATCAGTTTTAAAATAAAATATACATTTATTTACTTTATTTTACAGTATTATTTATATTTTATTCTTATTTTATTCTTTTTTTTACATTTTTTATACAGCACTTTGGTACACTGTGTTTTTTTAAGTGCTTTATAAATACATTTTATTTGATGAAATCTATGGAAGCCCTCCAAATAAAAAAAAAAGTTACAAATATAATTGCAAGGTTATATCTCACAATTCAGACTTTTTTCTTGCAATTCTGAGGGGAAAAGTCAGTACTGTGAGACAAAAAATATCTAAATTGTGAGTTATAAACTGACAATTGTTAGAACTCAGGTCTGCTACTCAAACTTTTCTGAGAAGAAAAGTCAGAATTGGGAGATAAAAAGTCTAAATTAATCTCAAAATTGATCCAGAACTTGCAATTCTGGGAAGAAAAATCAGAATTGTGAGATCAAAAATTCAAAAGAACGTTTTTTTAAGTTTCAGTTATGATTTTTATGAAGCTTGTTTCCACCATGGGATAAAAATAAAGAAGATAATTGAGACTTTTTAATCTCACAATTCTAACTTTTTTCCCTTACAGTTCTGAGAAACAGTCAAAACTGACTATATAAATTTAGAATTTTCTGAGAAGAAAAGTCTGAATAATGAGATAAAAATCTGCAATTGCCTGTTTATTTTTATTCATTTTTATTCATTATGTGGAAACTAGCTTCTGTAGAAATAACTGTACAGTATTACTATATCCCTGGTTTTATTTTAAATGATTTGTAAACTACTTTGAAAAAAATAAATGCAATCCAATTAATTTCCAATAAATTAATCCAAGTTCCTGCTTACATTTATTTCAGACTCAGTTGTAAATATATCACATTATGAATGTGTTGTATGTTTTTTTTTCTGTTGATCTTAACAGTTATGGTTATACTGGACTGTTAAAAAACATGCATCGGTCAGTTTATTCCTGTATATGTGTGTGAATTGTTTTCTCAACAGGAAATCGCTAAACAGCTACAGGAAGAAGAAGAAATGGAGATGAGACGGCAGAGGGTTGCTGCTGGTTACAATGACAATGACTGTGTTTCTCCACTCTGTGAAGGTAACTGTTTTTTCTCACAAATGCTTGATGTGAATGTAGGCATCACATGTTGCACAACTGATTTTGGTCTCCCTCCGTCAGGTTTGGAAGTCTGGGAGCAGGTGCTTCAGGACGCTGAGCTGGCCCGTAGACTTCAGGAGAAAGAGGATATGCTGCCTCACAGAGAGGTATGTTTGCTACTCGACCCGAGTCTGGATTATGGACCAGGATGGGGTTAGTTTTTCTATAACTTCAGGTTTGTGTAGAGTTTGGGACCAGTATTATTTAACAACATTGGTAGTATTCATTATCATGTCTTTTTGTTCAGCAGTTTCCTCAGAGCTCTGGATCAGAGGTGGATTTCATTGCGGCCCAAGTAGCTCAAGATGAGGTAGAAACATCATCAGGATAACTGGACTGATGAACTGATAAACAGATTGATACCAATTGTAATAAACAGCTCCATATTTTAATTTAGTGGAGATAGAACTTAAATACATCAAAAGTTTAAACCACTTCTTGATTCTCAAACGGTTAAGTAAATGTGATGATGCCACAAAACTCTGTAACTCCTCTGTACATCAATGCTTGTCAGGAGATCGCCCACTATATGCAGCGCCATCAGAAAAGAGTCAAAAACCGGCCACAAGACCTAGAGATCCAGACCAGACCTCCTGAACCAAGAGATGAAGGAAACACCACAACCAGGAAGGTCTGAATCAACCTCATTCACTTTACACATAAAAAATGTTAAAGGGATAGTTCACTAATGAAAATTCTGTCATTAATTACTCACCCTCATGTTGTTCCAAACCTGTAAGACTTCCGTTCATCTTCAGAACACAAATTAAGATATTTTTGATGAAATCCGAGAGCTCTCTGACCCTCCAATAGACAGCAAGTGTCCTTACACGTTCAAGGTCCAGAAACATAGCAAGGAGATCGGTAAAATAATCCATGTGACATCAGGGGTTCAACCACAATTTTACGAAGCTACGAGCATACTTTTTGTGCGCAAAAAAAAAAAAAAAAACTTTAATCAACAATTTGTCTCCTCCACGTCACCATGGTGCCATTTTGGAAAGTCACAGAACAGCATACGCTGTTTACGTTCAGTGGACACTTTCCAAAATGGCGCTAGGGTGACGCGGAGGAAACAAATAGTTTTTTTATGTGGAACAACATTTTGTTTGCAATTTGTTTCACATTTCTGTTTTTGTGTAAATGGACATTTTGTAATTTAGTTTGACCTTTTGTGCCGTGTTGTCTCAATTTCAGTCTCTTCAGATGTTGCGTGAGAGGCTGAACTCAGACGGACTGCATTCACCTGTGGAAGAGGAAGACTATACCATCGAAAGCCATCTAGCAAGCCCATCATGCACTGAGCTGTAAGTCACACGTTCTTTATCACACACATTCACACATTCTCAAAAACACCTTTCAACACTTACAGTGTCTTCATCTCTTTTCAGCCGAAACCAACACATACACAATATTGCCGAAGAACTGGACCCAACGTTCAAGGCTAGGAAGCGCGAGAGCCAAATTTCCACCAGCCCCCCATCAGGTATGAACACACTGTTATATAATAGGAAAGTTCAATAAGTGTATTTGTGCCACATCAGCAGCCATTTCCTGTTTTCTCAGCAGGTCTATGTTTAGCCCCTCGTAACCCGCACAGCATCTTTTATGACTATTTACCAGAACCCACCTTCATACCACCAACTAAAAGGCAGAGCGACAAAGCAGGACGTCACAAAGCCAAAGACAAGAAAGAGAACTGTAAACAGCAGTGAACATGTGACTAACTTACTGTAGTGTTGTCTTTTGAGTGTCTAAACAAGTATTGTAGAATCCAATTTATGGACATGACGGCACCAAGGGAGATGTACGTAATTTAAGATAAGCACTTACTTTTAAACTATTAAAATACATAGAAGCAAAGTTCCTTCATTATATGATGATTAAAAACCTGTTTTAAAGGTAGGGTAGGTGATTTCGGAGAGGCTAGCAATAGCAAGCTAGCTTTGAAAGCATAAGATCCCACCCTCCCTGCAAATCACGCCTCCTCCAAAACACATGACACGATGAGAGATGGCATTGGTGGAGGGTTCAATGCATAATATTACAATAATAACACCTTTCATCCTCGGTTTATCTGCAGTAGCGCTACGTAACACGCTGATGACGTATCTTGTCTGCTCAAACGTGCGCGGAGGTATGCAAATACATAAGTTGATAGGCAGGTAGGACAGCCTATTGGAGCCCTCGGACCGAGGAATATGATTGGACGAACATTTTATGGTCCTACTCCTTCCACAGACAATATAAATACATATAAATACATTTAGACTACTTAACTTAGTTATTGCTATCAGGATGTGGAGACTTTCAACCAGCATAACAAAAATGTTTTTGAACCAAATCACCTACCCTGCCTTTAAATGCTTGTATTAAAGTTTTTTTTCATCTTCAGGTTTAGTCATTTAATGTACATGCAGTGGAATAACATATTTGTTAACAACTAAAACAAGTTTAAAAAAAAAATGGAAAAAATAGTTAAAAAACACCATAGGCCTTTTATTTTATGTTTGAATAAGGGATGTCATGCCTTATTTCTGCTATTTTTGTGTTGTGCCATACAATCGCCTTATTCCAGCATTTTCCAAGGGTTTTAATGCACATTTGTTTTGTAAATGTGTGTTCCTCATTTTCAATTCTAAAAAAGAACAGCACGTCTGTGTTTACTGATATTATTGGGAAACATTCATCTGAAGTTCAGAGGTCAGAAAAGACCCTGGGAAGTATTTTATCAGAATGTGAAGATTCAGGGGTTTTGCAGTTGGAAAGTTTGTGGATTTAAATGAATGCCCTGCAGGGGAATTCTGATGGTGTTGAAATAAAATATCAAACACCGTCACATCCTGACAGTCCACAATATTTCAGAGGTCTCTGCACCCCCCACACATACTTTAACCTTTTGTGTGTGTGCAGCGTGGCGATGACATGAGCCTCGTGAACGCCTCTCTGTTCTGAAAGGCTTCTGTGTTTTGTTTTTGTATTGTGTTAACATCTTATATATTTTCATAATAAAAGTAATTTGAGCACAATTTGAGCATGAATTCCTCTTAAAGGAAAAGTAGGCAACTGAACTTGTATGAAGTTCAGAGGTCTCATGTTTGAGTTTTTTCTTTCTCTTTTTACTGTAACATCTAAGTGTTTTCATAAGTAATTTCATAAGTAATTTGAGCACATTTTGAGACTGACCACCTCTTTTCTGAAAGTCTAAAGAGCTACTGAACTCGTACTGAGTTTGCAGGTCTCATATTTGAGGACTTTTTTATTTTGTATAATGTGTGTTAACGTTCCATGTTTTCAAAATAAAAGTCATCTGAGCACATTTTGAGCATGAACATCCCTTTTCTTAAATGGCAAGAGGGCAACTGAGCTTTCATATTTTAATCATATTTTAATTTCCCCCTCTTTTTTCGTGTTAACATCTTACATGTTTTCATAATAAAAGTAACTGCGCACATTTCAGAAAGGTTTGATTCTTAGCAGTAAACTAAGAACAAAATGTATTGTTTCAGAACATGGGCATAATAAGAAAACATGGTACATTCAACATCTTAAATACTTCAGCTACTGTAAAGCAGCACTATGTAACTTTTTTCCGTGTTCAAAATTTGCAAAATGTATATAATGAGCGAGTACATCATGAATTCATCTTCCAAACCGCATTTGTGTCTTGTTCCGAATCACTACGGTACACTTATAATAAGTACTTATATTTGGACTATTGTAGCCTGCTCGGGTCGTCGCCGCTGCGGAGTAACACATACCTGCGTGAATCGCCATAGACATAAACTTAGAGAAGTAGCTCCGGTTGAAATGTTCTTCCGCGGGATGTGTGCAGTTCTGTTTATTAAGCGCTAGAGCACCAAAAGTTACATAGTGCTGCTTTAATAGCAACAAAATAGCACAAACATCATGAATGCAGTTTTAGTGACAGGATTCCAGTAGAATTCAGTAAATAAATTACACAATACATAGATATTATACATATCTGCATATAACTTCAAATAAACGCTCATTTATGTTCAGCTTGCTACACAACACAGTTCATGCTACCAAAGGCCCGATATCCTGTGAGACCAGCGAGGCGGTCGAACTCTGATTGCTACCGCCGTGTTCCTGCTGCGGAAAACAGAAGCTGGGTTCATCAAGAAGAGACATTTGAGTCTGTCCTCCTGCTGAGCAAAAGACACCGAAAAACATGTTCATGCTAGAAAGGTGCATGAAGATACAAGAGCTCTCTAGCAAACCCATGTGCTGAATAACTAAAGAAAGCACACAAAGATGTTTACCTGCATGAGTTTCCTTTTCAACATGGGGTTTCTGAGTGGCCTTTCCTCTTCTCCACTCCAGGAAGAGGATTGTAGCAACAGGTATTGCTATGCTGACGAGCCCAAAGATGATGAGAATAACAGTGACCTCTGTAGCAAAGAGCAGCAATGCCAATGGAAACCAAGTTTATAGTTTTACATCTTTTAAAAGGTAATCTTACACGCACACATATACACACATCCTCCTATGATGTCTGTTATCAGTGAGGTCAGTTGGAACGTGGCCCACATATTCTCTGCTATTTATTTCTGGCATTCATACCACTTTCCGTGTCACTTGCAGGCAACACTGTTGGTTTGGTGTCTGGTTTAGGGCCACAGATTACATCTGTGAATGCATTTCCAGGCACTATTATTTGATGGTCTGGCTGCGTACATCTGTAGGTTGAGAGGTACAGTGTTTAACATTGCTTGTGATACGTAGCTACATGAATAGGTGAATGAAAAGATGGGAAATGCATCATACTTGGTCCAGTTTACGCAGTATTGATGGATCTTGTCATTGTACGTCCCTGGAGGACATGGCTCACAGCCTTGTGAATTCACACAAGAAATATCTTGCAGTCAGATGCCTACTTTTTTTGTTTTAAATCAAAAAACGGATCAGTTATCTCTATTCAGACTCACCTGTTGCACTGGGCTGGTGTCCCTTGCCACACTCTTCAATGCATCTAGAGCATTTGTCATTAGCACATCGATATCCCGGTTTACACTCACAAACTGTGTCGCTGCTGGCGGTGCAGTTCACCTTCACCTGCCTGTTTTTACCTGGAGCAGAGGACCTCATCAAAACACAAGCAGCTTCATTCATCACACTGAATCTGAGTGTCACTAGATGTGAATAACACAGAACCAAACGTGTTCTCAGCTCCTAATGTGACCGATACTGTTGCTGTTCAAACTGAAAATCATACACAAATTTATGTCACGATGACAAAATTATACCCAAAATTATATTAGATTTTGCGAAGATAAAATTTCCAATTTTTGGGTCAGTCTATTAACTATGGAAGCTTGTTTGCAAAATAAAAAAGTAATTGTGACTTTTTATCTCACAATTTAGATTTTTTTCCCCTCCCTCGCAGTTGGGAGTTTGTATGGAAATATGTCAATTCAATCCCACATCTGGCCCACATGGATTTCACACAGGCCAGATGTGGGCCAAATTTATGTCACGATGACAAAATTATACCCAAAATTATATTAGATTTTGCGAAGATAAAATTTCCAATTTTTGGGTCAGTCTATTAACTATGGAAGCTTGTTTGCAAAATAAAAAAGTAATTGTGACTTTTTATCTCACAATTTAGATTTTTTTTCCCCTCCCTCGCAGTTGGGAGTTTGTATGGAAATATGTCAATTCAATCCCACATCTGGCCCACATGGATTTCACACAGGCCAGATGTGGACACTATGTTGCTGTCTGGGAAACTATGTATTTGCATACCCCTGTGCAGCCAATAGCGAGAGTTTGGGGCGTGGGCTATTGTGACAGGCTGAGCCACAGGGTGTTTAGCCAGTGGGGAAAAAGAAATTCAGATTCCATTAGAGATCTTACAGAAATTCGAAGACTTGCCAAAATACTCCGAGACAGAGGGTAAGTGTTTTTACAAGAAGGAGGAATTTGATGAAATGTTTAAGCTTCAGTTGATTAGAAGAACTTGCAGAGTTTCTTCTCAACAGGTAAGCGGCAACCTGATTGGTCCCAACACCCACCCACACATGTAAACATCATCAGAATATGTTGGTAAAGGGTCCTTTTGGCGTTTTCTTTTGCCAGAACACATGGACATGTAGCAGTATCGGGCAGTGGGATGCAAGGACGGTCTGAACATTAGTTAAAAAGGAAAAATATATGGCCTACATTAAATCCTGTACCTGAACACTTATCACATATCTTGCACACCCATGGGTTTCCATCAGTGATAAAGTTGTCTTTTTCACACGGAGTACACAAAGCGTTTGGATCTGGACCACAAGTAGCAACAAGACGGTTTCCTGCAACAAACACACACATACACTTTGAACATCTGGAAAAGAATAAAGCTTTAGTATAAAAAAATTAACAATGAAACACTGACATAAATTGATGAGGAATATTTAATTGACTGTTTCTAGTAGACTAATCGAATAAATAAATGAGCGAGTTTGTTTTTCGATTACTATGCTTATTTGTAGTATAGGAAATAAATAATAGCCTAATTTAAATAACATATGAATTAAAATAACAAATTCAAGAAAAAATGAAACAGAAGCATCTTCACACATGGACTTTTGAACCTCACTCTGTGTTCTACATCAGACAGAGTTTCCTTCTGGTGAAAAGACATCTCTGATGCACGATAATCAAATCGAAAGTGAACCTCAGATGTGGTTTTTATCACATGATCATGAGGGGAAACTGAGCCGCACTTTATATCACGTTCTTTATATGTACTTAAAGACAGACTAGATACTATGAACTATTTACATTGACTCGTGTGCTTGATAACACATTGTCATTAATATTCTCCTAGTAATTCTATTTCCAGTTTTGAGGTTTAGTCCTTTCAAAACACTTTCTCCAGCACCTCTCATGAAAATATAAAATGCATTCAAAATCATATGCCAGAAATTAAATACATAAAAATTGTCATTTGTTTTCTATTTACATTGATATTAGTGGTGTTGCTTGTTAACGTTTTGCTTTTTTACAATTTTTTATTAATAGTAATTAAATGTGCTATAGCAGTGAATCTCAACCTTTTGGCGTACCGGATACAAACTTGTTTTCTATTTCTGTTTAATCTTAGCAGCCCATCCAGACAGGTCTTATGATTTAATCAACATATAATTAAAATTGACTCCATAAAAAAAAAAAAAAGGATTTACTTTGAAACATTTTTCACTCAAAAACTGTAATTACAAATAATTACAAAGAAACATCAAGTAACACATTGAATTACAATAAACATAACATTTTGACGTAGAAAGACTGAAGTATTTTCTTATAAAATATACTGCGGTAATTTTAGTTTTATTTACAATTTTGAAAACACCTTTTTTTACCGTCTATTATTATTGATTTATTTTAAATATTATTTTGAATGATTCATCAGTGCATATTATTCCAAAGGGAAAAACAATCAGCAAAATGAATAACCTCTGAAACAACTTTCCTTTTTGACCAGTGGATGTACAAAAGTAAAATGAACTGCAAACTATTTCATGCTGACTTTAAACACAGCATAGTTAAATAAAACAAGCTAGCCTCTAAAATTCTTTGTGGTATTCGATGTTATAAATCTAGTTCAAATGTTAAACGGTAGGCAGTATAAACATTTGGCCTTTAAAATTCAAAGACAGTCCATCTCATCTTTCAATAACACATTTAAATCAGGCATGTATTAATAGCCTTATTTTTCAAATGTAACATCACTGCTGATAAATATTTATTCTCTGTAAGCAGGAAAATCCCCTTTTACCTGCAGCCCTGTTTATTACAGTGACATTTACATATTTAAATATGTGGGAATTATTGTAACACTGTTGATGTCATTGTCTGGGGTTTCCTGCATAATATCAGTGCTCCTCCTCACTTCTATGGCTTCTGAACGGAGACCTCCATGTCTCCCTCTGCAGGCCAAAGCTGGGAGTTCTGAGTCCCGGTGTGAACACACTGGGCATGCTCCTCAACAGTCCCGATTTAATCTCATCATTTCTCTTTTTCATAAGTGCCAGAGCTGGAGTCAGGGGCAAATTATCACAGTTCTGAAAGACAACAGAAGCGGGTCATTTCTTAAAGTTCTAAAGGAACATCTGGCTCATTTAACCACTTTAAGAGTACCAGCCTAATAAATCAAATGAAATGAAATGAAATGAAATATAGAATAAAATAAAATAAAAAAATAATAAACATTTCAATTAAATTAAATTAATTAAATTCTAGGAGGATGAACTTCTGATTATGCATTAACCCTACAATAGCAAGAGTTTTTAAGAAGCAATCACAGTAATGTAATGTTTAATGTAATATTTGTTTGAGTTGTTGTTATACTCTATCATTCAAAAGTTTGGGGTTGGTAAGATTTTTTAAATATTTTTGAAAAAAAAAGTATCTTTGGCTCAACATTTATTTGATCAAAAATACAGTAAAACTGTAATATTGTGAAATATTATTACAATTTCAAATAGCTGTTTATTGATTGAATATAAATTAAAATGTATTTTATTCTGTGATGGCAAAGTTGAATTTTTAACATCATTAATCCAGTCTTCAGTGTCACATGATCCTTCAGAAATCATTCTAATATGCTGACTTGCTGCTCAACAAACATTTCTGATTATTATCAATCCTGAAAACAATTGTGCTGCTTATTTAATTGAATTTATGTATTCATTTTGTTGAAATTGTTATCTATTTAAATTAATGTTATTTTTGATCAATTTATTGCACCCTTCTTGAATACAAGTATTAATTTCTTTTAAAAAAAATTTTCAAAAAACTTACTGACCCTAAACTCAATGTGTACTTTTGAGACAGTGTGATGTTGTATATTTTATATTTCTCTTCTAGGCTTCAGTTGTACATGCATTTACTGTAAACATGTTTACTGTTTACTGAGGAATAAGTTATAACTGACAACAAACATGCCACAGATGTGGTTCACGGAAATAAATTCAAAATAACAATGTTTCATTAATAATGACATGAAATATGCCTGAAATATCAGTGGTAACATGAGAGTTTGAATGGCTCTTTTAGTGCTAACTGTGTGTTTATCTTTTATCCTAACAGCTGGCACATAAAGTGCATATGAATGAGAAATCTCGTTCTCTCTTACAGTGGTTCGAGCGTTTGATGCCGTGTCTGAACGCTGTAAATTGAGGTCCAGTGTGGATTTGCTGACGCCTGGCGCCTGGTTGTCTGTCCTCTGCTGTCCTGAGGAACTCGCACGTGCATTGACCCGCTTAAGAATGTCGCTCAAAGTGCTGAAAGTCTTGCTCCGTGACAGTTCTGACGGCTTTTGTGAGAAAAGCAAACAACATCCCTTAACTAAAGTAAAATCACTGTAATGAATGATCTTGAGTGACTTGCGGCTTTCAGTAAATGGTGGCTACTAATAAAAAAAGGATACATACATGTGTATGTGTATGTGTGTGTGTGTGTGTGTGTGTGTGTGTGTGTGTCTGTGTTTATACAAAGTTCTGGCATGAAACTCTAGATGGCGCAGTCCAATAGGTCTAACTTAATATGACATAAGGACATCATTATCACATTTCACAGCTGATTTGTTCTCTCCTGTATCGGTAGCCAATGAGCTCGCTGCTCAACTTTCAAATACTTATCTATTGCTTGTGGTAGCAGTTGCAGCACATGAGGGGGGACCCCCCTCGAGACGACGCGATTGGGCTAGTTTTGGGCTAGTTTTTAGTAGAAATTGGGCGGGTTTTGTTTGCGAAAACGTGACAACCCTGCCCTCCACCTTCCCCAGCTCCACCTGTATAGATCTGCTTCAAATTCATCTTTGTTGTCATGAATAATGACTTGGAAGGATGAATAATGAATAATTTCATCAGTACAGGATTTATTTAGATTCAAATACATAATAATATCATATTAAGCAGGAGTGGAAGGAAGCTTACTGTAGAGGTCACGTGCTGAGTGCTCGTCACTCTATCAATCACCTCGGGGAAGGTCTGAGACAAAAGCCAATCGCTGTCCTCACAGGACATCATCTGAACAGATGAGCGAGCGCACAGGAAACATGGGTCAGAGCGCGGTGTTCTCGCACGAGACGTTGATACCCGCGCAGTTTCAGCGGATCAACTGATGCGATCCCCGCCAACTTGGAAATACTCGCGGCTGGCGAATGAGTTCGATGTGTGAGCTAGTACAAGATACTAGAACCCAATTACTCTCCCTCCGCTCTTTTTTAGAGGGAAGTCGTGGCCTAATGGTTAGAGAGTTGGACTCGTAACCCAAAGGTTGTGGGTTCGAGTCTCATACCGGCAGGGATTGTAGATGGTGGGAGTGAATGTACAGTGCTCTCTCCCACCCTCAATACCATGTGTGTGTGTGTGTGTACTTTGGATGGGATAAATGCAGAGCACTAATTCCAAGTATGGGTCACCATACTTGGCCATATGTCACTTCACTTTATATGGAATTTATTTGACATGCATATATAGGCAATTTTATGGGAGCTCAGAATCTGGCTCATGCAATCAAATTTTAGGGCTGAACATCGTTATATGTTAATATCCAGCAGCATACCTTAAAATTAGCTTGTGTGGTTCCTTCAGGGTTCATCGTATCTCCTAAAACTCTGTCCCTCCTCAGGTAAGGCTCTCGTCTCCCAGAGGCTCCGAGCTCTTCCTCCGATGTCATGTCCATTCGGTGAGCGCGAGATTTGTACACAGGAAACCTCTCCTCACTTTCCGCATTCAGTAGAGGATACGTGATTCTGTCAGGAATCTGTAGAGGCCTTTGGATGAAAGAGATTAGCACAGATTTTGTTAACATCTATCCAAATATTTGTCTTTCGCTCTACTGGTCTTTCTCATTGTCTCTTTTGGACCGGGTGTAATATTTACCTGTTCACCACCTCATTGCAATGCATATCTCCTGGAGAGTAATGTCGCCTACAACAGAAAACGACCATGTGTGTTAAGCGCAAACACGTCTAACAATACATCTGTACGTATGAGATTACATGAAAAGCCTTTTGAGAAATACTGGCCTTGGTCTTTGATATTCTGGATGCCTTATATCTGACAGAAACATTGAACTAAACCTGAAATGCAATGAGATAAGACTGAGTAAACATGTTTGTACAGAAGAAACATCCTAGGATGAATATTTTACCTAAATCTGAAATACAATAGGAAGCAGCTTCAGGATTGTGATCTTTAAAGTTATAGCAGCTTAGAGAATATGAAATCATATTATAAAACGGCTAATTCCAGTTCTTGATTCTGATTGGTTGAGGCACTTTCGAAGCTGTAAATTACTTTACAAACAAACACCTGCCCAGT